CAGTTTGAATTCCAGAAAAAAAACTATTCCGAAATTCATTGGTACACAGTAGAATCACGTATGATTTGATTTTTATGGTTTAAATCACTAACCGACCTTAGTTAGATCACCATTAGAAACCTGAAAGCAATGAAAGGCCGTTTAATCCTAATACTGGTTATCTCTGCAGTCCACATACACGACCTCAAAGCAGGGACTCGAACCCAATAGCTTAAAACTCGCACAGCTAACATAAGCTACTGAGCCAATAACCAATGGTATTAACGAATTGATTTTGTTGCAGATACAGAGAAACTGAAGTACTATTAGCATCAATCTTTGTAACTGAAAATTATGAGATACTCTATCACAATCGATCTATGATCATTTTAACTGAGTTTCTGGATAGTTTAACGATGAAGCTTACATTGTCCTCCTGGATAACATCATCACTAAATTCAGAAGGAAGTGACCGATTTCGATTTTACCGCATATGACTGGCAGCCTATTTTTCCGATCATGACGATTAAGACCAACAAGCGCAGAGAACGAAATTCTACCTACATCATCCATCTGAGCTACAAATCTTCTCAACCATCTCACATCTACAATCATGCTTAGTTTGATTAAGATAAGCGAAAAAAATGAACAAATTGAATATTTTACCGAAAATTGTTTTAATATTAGTCTTAATGAACCACAAACTAATGGGATTTAAGCAAGGATACTGAACTTGTGAATCTTATCAACTGCTTAGTGATCATTCTATCATTGTCCTATAGCTTTGCAGGCCTAACTAATGACAAATCTAAATGGATCCTATCATCAGTAGCGTTTAAGGTTAGCTGACTAAGTAAGTAATTTTAAGACTGAATATTAAATTTCAGGCAAGGGTGAGAACAAAGAGATGCTACTGCCTTAAAGGTCTTTTTTTTATCCCCTGTGGAATCATGAGTGCACATTATTGTATAGTTCTATACTAGTATGGAACGACAGTAGTATAACCCCAGAATCGTGCTGCAACCTCCTTGTTAACACTTTATGTGTCACTTCTCTAGGGTTACAAATTATTTATCTGTATTGTGATACAGTTAACAATTTTTCATATTTTATGCTAATTTTCGTCATCCTATATCGCTCGCTTCGTGATCGTGTCCATTTATCCAGTGGGTTAAGAGTAATCATAGGTCAGTTTTTGAGCCCAAAGTATCTCACTAATGAGGCACGCACCCATCCTAAATTTAACCAGAATCCCAAGATACTGTTGTGCAAAGCGTTCTACCACAAACTACCCAACGCTCTTTGGTTATAAGCAGTCGGTTATAAAAAACTATCCAATAGCCAATTTATATTTTTCTGTCAAATAAAATTACAGTTTGATTTCCCATTTACAACAGAATTGGCACTAAAAGCAGAGATGGTTGATGCCATTCAGTGCAACCCAGGATGCACATTTCGTCCCATCTGATACTCGTCAAATGAATTTGCCTGCATCTTAGAGTTAAAACTCATTCAATAACTCAAATCCAGTGCCGTTCTCTTGAAACGTCATCACGCCATCGATACAAGATATTAAGTTATTCAATGCACTCCGCCGAATTTCCTGCATAATATATCATTTGCAGCTGAAGCCATTTGTACAACTGCTTTCTTTAACTCCCTTATGAATATAGAGGATAAGAGAGATGTTTACTAGTGATTTATTATCCCCCGCTTTTTCAGTAATCCCAAAGTTTCAAAATTTTCCTTACATTTTCTGCCTATACTAAATCTCAGAAGAAGCACTGAATACAATGGACATTTCAGAATCAATTAGACGATTTGAACTTCTCAAATAACCTAGCCATCCTATCCCATACACACGAACAAATGCAGATTAAAACAAGTAGTGTAGCATCAGCTTCTGCATCAATAAGCCTCAACATACACAAAGGAAAAAGCAAAATCCTAAAATGCAACACAGCGAACACTAAGCCAACAACACTTGATGGCGAAACTCTGTAAGATATGGAATATTTCACGTACCAGTTCAGCAGCATCATCGATGAACAAGGAGGTTCTGATGCAGATATAAAGGCGAGGATTGGCAAAGTAAGGACCGCATTCCTACAATCAAAGAACATCTGAAACTCAAAACAACTGTCTGCAAGCCAACATCAAAGTCACAATCCTCAATAAAAACGTCAATACAGTCCAACTGTACTGAGGTGAAACGTGGAGAACTACTATAACCAACATCAAAAAGGTACAAGTATTTATAAACAGTTGTCTACGCAAGATGCTTCACATCCACTGACCGGATACCATTAGCAACAGCCTCCTATGGGAGAGGACAAACCAGATTCTAGCTGAAGGGGAAATTAGGAAAAGACGTTGGAAGTGGATAGGACATACACTGAGATCACCAAACTGGACCACGAGGCAAGCCCTAACCTGGGATCCTGAAGGGAAGCGGTAAAGAGGAAGGCCGAAGAACACACTGGATCGGGAAATAGAAAGAGATATGAAAATGATGGGTAACAACTGGAATGGATTGTCCAGGGCAGAGTTGGATGGAGTGCTGGCGAGTGACCCATGCTCCTCGACGAGGGGTAACAGGCGTAAGTTCCTGTTCTCGAATAACTACTTGATTACTCTCTATACTCTTACTTAACTAATATCAATATCCGACTCGTAATAAAAATTTAGAAAGTTTTTATGTTGGTTTGTTCTCTGAGCTGGATGGTTTGGTCGTTGAGCTTTCATCGTCCTTCTGAACGACATCATCAGTGAAGTGTTCACTTCTACCCGAAGTTTGTGCTGATGATGTCGTTCAGAAGGACGATGAAAGCTCCACGACCAAACCATCCAGCTCAGAGAACAAACCAACATAAAAATCACCCACCTGAGCTACAAATCTTCACCATCTCAAAAATTTAGAAAGTTCTTTAACAAGATAATATATAGTTTGTTAATCATACTGTGGTGTGGGTTACTTATATCCACATAAGTAGTATAGGTATAGAATATATCCTCGTGGAAGATCGATAAGAAAAGAACAGGAACGAAAATCAATCGGTATGAAAATGCATGAAGAATGGAATCAGAGAAGGCGGACTGATATTCGCAGAAGGAACAGTCAAGAATGAGATAATTGATTGTTATTTTGCAAATTAACTGTATGGTTATCAGATCTCAGTAAGATAGTCTGTAATTTGTGCTTAACTATATTCGATTGTACCCACTCGTGCTCTCATTCACTACAATATAACTCAATGTTTTAACTTATTTGCTCTGGTAACTATTCTAACCACTTTATCTTTGTTTTACCTTATTTTAAATTTGATCATTTTCGTAAACACTGTGAAATCTAAAATATTGTTATCAATGAAGCCGAAGCTTCTTTCCAAGTATGCACTAACAAAAGACAATATAGATGAATTATGTCATCTATCCTGTAGCATATAGCGTCAGATCCATCAGTTTGACATCAATTACAATATTCTGACAATCCACATGAAGAAATTTAACGGACTATTTGTCTATGCACAACTGAAGCTTCTGTGACGTAAAGTAAGTTAACGTTTATACCTTTCGGAACCGTTGTTTAGAGGTAAATTAGCTGCTTCTCTTTCTTAACTATTATACAATGAGAAATTACAGCATGTTGGGGATGTCAAAACCCCAGAACTTACTTGGTAAATGTGTAGTATCAGCTTATGTGTTAAGCCCATATACTTTATTCTAGTTGCTGGCCAAGCCAATTCGCTTATCCATTATGAGTCATATTTTGATCTTGTTAATCATTTGCTTATTAACCTTGACTATACTTTTATATGAGCATATATGTGTACACTTCGAATCTTATTCATCGTATGTCTGTCACTCATTTTTGTCCGACTATAAATGTTGATCAACGCTTGCTTAAATTGGGTTGGCTTCCCAGCCATCTCCAATACGCATCATCTTTCGCCTCGCTCTCGACTTGGCTTACCAGCCATCTCCACTGCGTCATTTCCGCCTCGTTCGCTTCTTTCGCTTATTCGCCTGTTTACTCGCTAGTTATTATTCGCTCAGGTGTTGCTAATTTTCTGACCTGAGTTATTCGACAATAAACTGTAGTTGCTGCTATCCTTTGTCTTCTGATTTTACGCGCCGTTAAGATTAGAATTATAACGGTTCTCGAAGTAAACGATTAACGAATCGCGGCACTACAAATGGTTTACTTTTGTAATTTTATTTCGAATTTTTTGTATTCGCGCCAAAAGCGCTCTTTTCGCCTTCAAGTCGTATTTCCCACTTCTAAAATATCTTAAATGCTATTGGTTCGTTGTATCTTTGAGTGTGCTATTTTGTAATGCCGCCCAATGCCAATTTATTGCTGTATATATACGTTTGAGTTTTTCCCCTTATGATTCGCTTGCACTCGGCTGCTTACGGAATATATATTCTCCTACTTCGCCTTGGACTTCTTCCTCTAGTTAGCGGGGCCTGGGACGACGGATTAGATTAGTTTATCGTGTCACTTTGTCATTGTCCTTCGTTTGTTTACCGAGAAAATTTAATTAGCTCAAGCATATCACAGCTCTTCAGAGAAACAATAAAAGTCTTTGATCAGAAAGCAATGCTTTTTTCTATAAAAACAAAAGGTTAAATCACAGGAAAAGTTGGGATGGTAAAATAAAAGTAATACATATTATCTTGAGTAATCACAAAAGGCAATCGGTACATTTTAATGCTTTCAATAAAAAAAATATGTAGGGAGAGAAGTATTTTCGTGAAAAAGAAAATAGGAACCTAAGGATCTGATTGCACAATCATTTGTGTTTCTTTTATTGTTCATTAAGACAAAGGGGGTAATTGCACAAACACTAACAGATACACACACATACACACACAAATATACACAGAGACAAATGAATTTGAATGAAGATGTAAAATATTGTTTATACATTCACCATTAACCTCTGCCTAATGTTACTTTAACGTTGTTTCCACCGCCGTTTCCACGATGCACACACACAGTTGCCTAACTGATCCATTTATTTATCATTCAATTGTATAATTAACCAATATTCTATATAACCTAATGCATAACCGGCTAGAATATCAATAAAATGATGACGATGCATTGCATAACGTGAATAACACACAATTAAATTCCAAAATAATAACAATGTTAACCATAATGCAGATGCAGATAGCCAAAGATGAGAAATTAAAAAGAATAACATTGTTGATCGACTAGCATGACCTAAATTTAATGAGGGAAAAGAAAGGGGAAACATTAAGCAGGAATGATCAACATAAATTAAGTGTATTTTTATCAGAAGGGGTTTGGTGGAGATTTTAGTAATTTCATAGAGTTGAGATCATGAGTCAATTGAAGCTAGACCACCATGGAAAACCTGAAAGCACTGGACGGCCGTTTCGTCTGGTTTTGGGTTCGAATTTCGTGAGGTGGGGTCGTGGATGCGCGCTGTTGAGGAGTAATATAATAGGACGAAACGGCCGTCTAGTGCTTCCAGGTTTTCCATGGTGGTCTAGCTTCAATTGACTGATGATCTCAACTCTATAAGTATATTTTTAATATCTGAACAGAAGGAGACCCTGAATACACATTTGTCACACTTCATCATTCGATTTGTGTGAGCGATGGAATACTTACCGGGCACCTAGACCGAAGCAGGTAGTTTTCTTAGGGAGTCACATCCGGAGCTTTTGATTTAGAGGTCTAATCCACAAGGCAGTAGAGCATCGTGAGGAGATGCAGTCCCATGGTAGCCAGTGACAAACGATTGATTCATACGTCAATTGTTCCCTCAGGATACTGGAGCCCATGTGCACCACTGGTTTGGAATCAGGGTTTTCCAAATCCCCTAGGTGGACTTACCATGTCCACCAACCCGGTTAAAGCGCCGGACATTCACTTTTCGTCCTATCAATTTCGTAAACAACAGTGATACCACGAGAAGGTAGTGAGTAGGACTTCCTTAGCATAGGCTATATACACGTGGCCATGTGAGAGCATTTCGAGAGTGGGGAGAGCGGACTCTCCCTACTCTCGGACGTACAAGAGCATTTTGGGGCAGTATAGCTCAGTGGTAGAGCATTCGACTGCACCAGGATTCGAATACGAGATCGAGTCGATTGGAGACCAAGTGTTGCAAGCACTGTCACTTTTTCCATGCGAAAAACTTGAGGTGTCGAGTTCAAAATAAAATGACAGGACGCAAAATGAATTTCATTCATATTCTGGTTATATAGAAAAATAAATCCGATCACATCCTTTTTTCTAAATAAAGATGAAATTGTAAGAAAACATGGGAAAGAATATAATTTAACTCCTTACATACCAGAAGGGAACGACCAAGCATCAATACTAATAGTGAGTAACATATCTGAATCATTATTATCTTTAGGTCTTTGACGTTGAAATATAGATTTAATTAAACCGACCATTATTGCATCGAATAATAAGGCAATAAGTAAACAGAATGGTTTAGCAATTTTTTCATTGATTACAATGCTAGATTGTTGTTCAATAGAAGGATTTCTCCAATTCCATATTTTTCCCAAAGCTGAATATGATCTAATGCCATGCGCATTATCAATTAACAATGTAATAAGCCAAATTAAAACAAATCCTATCCATAGAACACCATGACCTGTCCATTCCAAGAATAAGCTTAAATGCCTAATCCATCTTGATGTTGCCATATAGAAATATATTATTTTGCAAACACCTATACAAAATAAAATAGGAATGGCTTATTATAATGGGCTAACGAAGTGAACGTATTATCAGTAATAAAACGAAATACGTGGGCGACGACCAACTAACCAGGAACCTACCTACTCACGTCTTTGTGACTGAGTGGTCTATGCCCCTTCCACATTTATTGGTTCTTCATAGTCCGCCGGTTAAATGATTGATTCCTTCTATTGAGTAAGATCCTATACGGATACATGTAAATTACAGGTGGCATCTGGCGTGTCTACGTGAAACGCTTAGAGTGGGAGCTATAATTTGTGGTGAAGAGAAGGTAACCTCCATTAACCTAGGTCTAGTATGCCTAACCTTCCATTATAGGCCAGTCGGATGATTGTTTGTAACACAATACTCTAAGGCATTAGGTAGCGTTTTATCAACTTCCGATCTCGAACATCATAAACTGCATTATAGATGTTTGCGTTTTCCGGTTTTCTTGAACAATTAAATTCCTAGCGCGAAGGAACATCTCACAGTATTTCTTCTTAAAACTTGTAAATAAACTGAATTACATATACAGTATGTTCGGCAGTAGTAGAAATTCGCCCTCAGATTCGAGCAGACAGTTTGCTCCAAAACATCGTCCACTTCACCAGCACTGGGAAAGGTGGCTTGCAGTTTTCATTCATTTAAATCCAAAGTCAAATGATGGATTCAGATGAAAATTAGCTAGGCACCTACCTCATCTATCGTAGAGAACCAGTTCGACCCGATAAACCTTTTAATAATGTCCAAACGGCTGTATATACTGCAGCATTAAAATACAGGACTAACTATAGCATCTTTTCTAACATTGGGGAGGTGAGTGTGAGAAAGGAACATGTTGAACAGCATAGTAAGTGGTCCAGAAATAGTGTCTGCGAGAAATGACAGCAATCGTGGATGTGACCCATCAGGGCCCGGTATCTTACCAGGTCTAAGATTAATGATCAATTAAAGAACTATTTCCTTAGTCACATGTGCAGGTCAAGTATTGTTAACAATACCCGTAGAGTAGACTTCACTGAAACAGTTTGATAAGGTCTCAGCTTCGGCCACGTCTGATTCAGCTAGTATATATGAATTTTCGTGCAACAATAATAGAGGAATACCATTACCACGACTTGTTCTACATTTAATGTGCGAAAACAATCGTTTCGGACAGATACGGCTATCGCATGCCAAATGTTTTTCGTAAGTGGTGCGACATCTGCCTATGGCCCTTTTACTCATATTTCGGATATTTCGGTATTCACACATAATCATTCGTGGCCTGTTAATAAGAATAAGTCCCAGAAGCGTTTTCTACACTTGAGCAGATTTCAGGTTTCCTTGTTAATCCATGAAGGGTAATGTGATAGTCTACATGTTGACCATGAAATGTACGTTATGTCACGAATTCGAATGTGGCTTTAAACTTATCCCACTTGTCTTCGATCGATTAAACTGCATTGACCGAACAGCCTGTTAAAATAGCACAGTCTCTGATTGCCGGGAGGTTAGCTTGCCAGGTATTGGGACAGGGTGAAGCAGATACATACTGTATGCCGTGTCCGCAGCCCAAATTGATGTGCAACGTGACCAGTATTTGCTAGTGAAGGGTGCTGAATCCATCTTACTGCTCACATAACGCTTGTTTAATCCTATTTAGTAGGTGGACATCCTCAAAGTTACTTAAGCGGCGCTCAACGGTCGTACACAAATTGTAGAGTCCCCGGGTAAACTCAAAATATTACCTTGATATACAAAAAGTTGGGCATAACTCAAGGTTGAATTCAGTCTTCAGTCTTCAGTAATAAGGATAGTAGATTGATGAACATGTGTTAATCCTGACAGATTTCCTTCCAGTGAAGGTCCAGCTTCTTTTTGAAAATGTTCACTGATGGTGCTGATACCACTTGTTCTGGTAAAGCGTTCCATTCATTGACCACTCGATGAGAAAAACGGGACCCCACCTTTATTTTATTAGATCGCGGTTTCAGAACCTTCTTGCTATGACCCCGGAGATTTTTAGTGCTGGAGGGAGCAAAAAGGTAAGACATATTAACACCCAGATCATAATTAAAGATACGAAATGCCAGTATAAGGTCACCTCGTGTCCTACGATAAGATAAGGGGAAAAGATTTAGACATTTTAAACGCTCATCGTAAGGGAGTTTGGAAAGACCCTCTACTAATTTTGTCCCTACACGCTGGAGACGCTCAAGCGATTTAGTATCCTTTATCAGACAAGGGCTAGCTGCTTGGATACAGTATTCTAAGTGTGGCCTTACATAGGTGGGATATAAAATTCGAAACATATCCTCGTCAAAGCATTTAAATGCTCTGCGAAGCGACCATAGCGCGCGATAGCCTTTGGAAGCAATCGCATTGCAGTGCATAGTAGTTTTTAAGTCGTGACTTATAATTACTCCTAAGTCTTTATGCGCATGAACGCGTGGCAGAGATGTACCATTAATGGTATAGTGGTAACTAATATCGTGCCCTATGTGCATGAACACGCTCTTCCTGGAATTAACTTCCAGGCCGCAATCATGAGCCCACCTAACTAATTCGTCTAAATCTGCTTGCAGATAACAACGATCAGTCTCATTTCTTATTGTTCTCCAGATTTTAACATCATCCGCAAACAATAACGTCGACGACTTAAGTAATAAAGGTAGTTCATTAATATACAGAAGGAAAAGTAAAGGCCCAAGATGGTGCCTTGGGGTACACCACTTTTGACCGGTTTCCATTCGGATAGAGTTCCATTGACTCTCACTCTCTGTCTGCGGTCACATAAGAAGCTTCCTATCCATTCCTGTATAGCGCCTGTTATACCAAAGCTCGAGAGCTTTTGCATAAGACCTAAGTGTGAAACCTTATCAAACGCTTTGTTAAAATCTATGAATATCACGTCGACAGACTGGCCGTTGTCTAGGGAAGCTGTCCAATCCTCTCTCGCAATGAGTAAGTTAGTCAAGCATGAATGCTTGTTACGAAACCCATTTTGCTTGGGAGTTAACAGATTGTACGAATCTATGTGGCTCAGTAGCTTAGCCCGAATTAATTTTTCAAGTAACTTAACTACTATACTGGTCAGGCTAACAGGCCGGTAGTTAGATACTATCCGTCTCTGACCATCTTTAAATATAGGACTAACTATGGCGTCTTTCCAGTCTCTAGGTAGTTGAGCCTGTGAAAAGGACATGTTGAAGAGCATCGTGAGCGGTCTTGAGATAATGTCCGCAAGCGACGGCAGCAAACGTTGGTGTAACCCATCAGGGCCCGGTATCTTACAAGGTTTTAGGTTAGTTATCAAAGGAAGAACTATATCCTCTGTCACGTGTAAAGGTCCTATGGCTGGTATCTCATTGTCAACGGGACAAGTAGTTGTAACACTACACGTAGAGTAGACTTCACTGAAATAGTTAGCAAATAACTCCGCTTTCGCTAGGTCAGATTCAGCCAATAAAGCTCAATTTTCGCTTAACAGTAATGAGGGGATACCATCACTACGTTTCGTCCGCCTTTTAACATACGAAAACAGTCGCTTCGGACAGGTACGGCTATCGTATGCCAACTGTCGTTCGTAAGCCGTGCGGGATTTAGCTATGGTCTTTTTACATATATTCCGGATTTTTTATATTCGCACTTAAATGATGTCTGACCTGTTGACAAGAATAAGTCCCAGAAGTGTTTCCTACGCTTCAACAGCTTCCGGGTTTCCTTATTAATCCATGGAGGGCAATATGATAACTTACGTGCTGACCATGGGATAAACGGTTGAGTTACGGATTCGAACGTAGACTTAAACCTATTCCATGCATCATCAATCGATCCATCAGCATCGACCGACAAGTCAATTGAGATAGCATAGTCCCTTATTGCCGGAATATTAGCTCTCCAGATATTAGGACGGGGTGGAGCTGATGCACATTCTATACCATGTATCCGGAACTTAAAGGAAAGTACGACATGGTCACTATTCACCAGTGGGGGAAGCTGTTGAATGTCGACGATATCTTCACAGTGGTGTGTGAGGACAAGGTCTATCAATGACGGATTATGTTCCAAGTCTATATGCGTTGGCTTAACGATACATTGTACAAGTGCACATTGAATAATTGATGACAGAAGGACGCTATCGAACCCCCCACCTGGAGCTGTGAGCTCCATCCAGTTTATATGCGGTACGTTGAAGTCTCTAACGATGAGACAACATTCTGCTTCACTCCAAGAACAGACGTGTTTTAGGATAAAGTCGTCAGCGAGACAACACGGACTACGATATATTCCTCCTATCGTCACTAACCCGTTTCTAGACCTAATTGTACAACATACTACCTCACACATACCACTTACATGCGCCTCCGATATGATCGAGTTAATGCGGAAGTGGTCCCTAATATATAATAATAAACAATATCAATTTTCTTTCCTCTGTATTCAGTAGCAAACACAGATGGTCTGTAGACTTACATTAACCCTTTCAGTTTATAACACCATGGGAGTTTAATCCCGCTTTGAATGTATCAATAAAAAATGCTGATTTTATATTTTCCGGTAAACAGATCACCTCGTAACTTTCAGTAAGATAGCCGAAATAAGTCGAGGTGTCTCAATCTGATTTTACAAGATAGTCCAGAGAAACCTCTTATCATTTTGGTCTCTAAGTCATCCTGTGATATTATTCTATCTGATAAAATTTATATGGATCTTTAATTTCATCTGAAAAGAGTAGAACAAACAAATTTGCCACAGTCGGTAAGTCATTACGTAGATTACAGTTAAGAGGATTTCGTCTTAAGGAACGCTACTACTTACGTGTTCACACTCTAACAGAGCTCTATTTACCTGTACTCGTTGTTTTCTATCATTGAGTAAGTGACTTATCTAGTATTTGATCTCATAATAGATCCCGAAACTTTTCAGCTTTAATTTGAAACTCATTTGAGAGACCTTGTCAAAGGCTTTACTTAGATCTATTGAAATTGCATCTGTGAGAATATCTCTACCTTTTGCGGCAGATTTATGAATAACAATAAGCCTTTCCTGAAACCATGTTTTCCCCTGAATGAAAGTTTATGCCTTTCCACATTGTTTAAAATAGCCACGATCTCAATCAAAAACTTAATAGTCTTCACAAATCAATATTGATGATAAGCTTGTATTTGACGACAAGTCATTTGTTCCAGAGCATTCCAGAATGTCTTATGTGTTTGCTCTTCACACTTTTGGGTATATTATGTCCCAACATCCAGACACGAACTACAAAACAGCATGATCGCTATTCACTAAGAGTGGCAGAAAATTTTGTTAGGCAATATCCCTGATTGGTTTAGTGATTATGAAGTCTTAGAAAAGCAGTCTTTGGTTTGGACAAAAACGCGTGGGTTTTGATAAGTCCTGTACCGAAGCACGCTCCATTAACTTCGTCAGGGGCATACTATCGAAAGAGTCTGAGGATCCTAGGGTGGCAATTTCAGTCCATTTTCTATAACTGAATGTCATTTCAAATAATAACTGAAACAAATATTCAATTAGTGGTTACTATCTTAGTTAACAAACACCTTATCCTCGTTTTACATTCTATACCTATAGTCCATGATTCTAGTGTCAACTCGGTTAATAGTTTAAAATAAATATATACTCAGACCCTGTTGAATGAGCTCTCTACCCACCCAACCTCAATTTATGGCCAGTAACCCTAGTAAAATAGCATTATCATAGACTTCTAAACCAACTAAAACGTCGAAATCCGTAATTCCTATGTCCATTTTCTGACGACCTTAAAGCAGTATTTGCATTCGATCCACGGTCCTGTTTAAATGCCAGATGTATAATACAAAAAGGTCTGCATAAATTCCAAGGCTTATGTGATGAGTGGATTCTCTCTCCTAATACCGAAAAATTTGTTTATAAGTATGTCAGCACGTTTAATCCGTAGATCACTTTGTGGTTGAGCAAGTTGGGATTTAAACAACTAATGTAGCATCTACGATTTAGGAATGAAATATTTTGAAAGTCTTTCATTCACTGAACAGGCTACATCTCAAGCCTTAAAAGCTCGTTGTCTTGTTGGATTTATCAATCGTAAGTTCCATTTAAAGCAATCCAAAGAAACTCTCTATGAGATACGTATTCGTTCCCTGCCGGAATACTCCTCGATTACCCTTAGTTGCATGCGATTTATAGGCCGAAAAGATTGGGAAAGTACAAATCCAATTTACAAAACTTCTCACTCCTGACCAGTCATATAAATGATGTGTGGAAGATAAAAAGTGGATCTTTCATGGCATGGACGAATTAAACTTTACCTTACGTTTCAAAATTGCATGTGATAAAGCAGCACTAAACTGTGATACTTTAAAATTTGCCAATGATAGAAATTATGACCTTCAGAATCATGATTTTGTTCTCAAGATAACGAGAACATCAAATACATTAAGGTAAACTTTCCTATCCATATTCTACGCAAGCCTATGGAATAGGTTATTAGTAGACATCGGGTCAAGTCAAATGCTCACTCGATTTAAATATTCTCAAAACTGCGTTTTGAACCGACTCGGAGTTTCCCACATGTTCGATGAGGCTTACTTAAACCATCTAACATTATAACTTGAGAATAA